TATATAACAAAAATACCATATATTATCAAGGCATCTGCAGGCTATAGTTAATACTTAATTATAACATATTTTTATTACCATTAGAAATTAATTTTTCTATTAGGAAGTACTAAGCGAGTTAAATTTATTTTTTCCAAAAACAAATAAAATACATTTTATAATGGTAATTAAAATATTATTTCATACAATACTACTACCCGTTATTAACATAACAACGTAGGACTACATCCAAATTGCATGCCAAAATAAATGTCCTTTAATTTAAAAGGACATGTTAAAGTTTTAACAAAATCAATTTGGTTCTTTTGTTGTAGTTTAAAAATTAATTAATGTAGTCTTAAAGTTTTCACCAAATTTTTATATAATGAACTTATTCACACTATTCTATCTTATTAACTTTAGATTATAATAATATATGAAATAATATTATATCATAAAATAGATATGATATATATAATCAATTATTTTCATGAAAAAAAATTTCAAACTACTTTATTGTTTGAAAAATAAATTACTGTTTACATATAGGTAACAATATAAATATATATATATATATATTAAAATATCTTTAAAAATATAGGCTGATGCTGAACAGAGACTTAGTTTTTATTCAACATAATTTTGTATCAAATAAGTATGTAAAGATTTATCACTGAATTCAAATTTAACACATTCATTACAATGATCTACTTAATGTATAATAATAAGATACACTTGACACTCTGTGTACTTATTGGTACTTTCTTATTTTCATGGTTTAAGTATTTTAGTTTTATAATTCCCATAAAAATCTTATGAAAATTTAAATCGAATAACTATTTGTTTCAATAATGATCAATCTAAGATAAAATCATTAGGATCAATTTGAATGCTTCTAGCAGTTATTTTTGGTTTGAATATATTACATTTATATATTATAAAATATTTGAATTATTGTGGATCTAAATATGAAATAATATCTTTTTTCAATTTTTTTTTTAAGCTAGTTAGTGTTATTATGCCATCATAAAGATTTATCTTAAATTTTAATTTAGGTTAGTTATGTAATTGATCATAACATATATTTTTACCACTAGTTGTTTTTCTATTTTATTATACTCAAATATTTCTTTGTAAAGTATATTAATATGCAGATACATAGTTCATAAGGAATATTATTAATATTAGGAGATTATTTATAATATATAATATATACCTACTTTTTCTACAGGTCTAGATTTAAAGTGGCTCATTACAATTTTCTTGATAGCTTTCCAGTTCAATCTGGGTCTTTATTCAAGAATTTTCTGGAATATTCTATTCAATAGTCTGTTTCAATTATGATAATAACTATAATAAAACTTACTTACATTCGATACTATCTATAAAAAATAATTATAGTTTAATCATTTATAACTATATTTTGATATCTATGGACATTTAAACTTTAGTTTTTATAATTTAAATTAATAAAAATTATAACATAGAATAAATTTAAATTCATAGATTAATTTATTTTGTAGATTTAATCAACCAATACAATGCTAGATTAATTAGTTATAATGATACAATACATCGTAAATATTTAATGTAAAGTATTGTTTTTATGTTGAGTAAGTTAATTATTTGATTTTAACATTTTTTAAAGATTTTGCTACAACAGCTCCTTTATCAGCTACAGTCCAAGGAGTTCCTTTATAAGTAGCTTGTAAATTTTCATCTGTTTTCAAATCCAGCGCAATTTCTTCAAATACTTTCAATACTTTGTCTGGAGATCTTGTATATCCATTTACATTAATATGATCTCCTGGCACTGAACCTGTCGGGGGTTCTAATATTTCAACATTTTCTGGTGAACTAGCACACATTACCATTGCCTCAGACAGAACACCTCTAATTTTAGATGGTTTTAAATTGCATAACAACACAACCATACGATTAGACATTGCTTCTAAAGGAACAAACTTCACTAATCCACTTACCTAGAAACAAAATAAAATTTAAAAAATATAAATAATAGTAAAGTTAAATAAACACTTATTTTTTTTAAAATTTATATTGGAAATACACACTAAAAATTAATTATTATAATTAAATATCTTATAATGTGAATAAAAAATATAATACCAATTATATTTATGTACAATATACATACAACATTTCTTGGTTTTTCTTCTCCCACATCTATAGTTTCAACATACAGAGCATCAGCATTGGGATGTTTGGAAGCGTTTAAAATTTTACCCACACGTAAATCTAATCTACCAAAATCTACTGGTGTGGCGACAGTACTTTTTGCAGGAACAGCTAAAATATATTTTACCATATCAGTATATTAATTATTTAATAATACTTTTATAATTTTGTTTTAATGTAAAATGTAATAAATATACATTCTAAATGTATTATATAATATATACCTTACCAGCATTATTTTTTTTTTGTTTTTTTTCAGTTTTGAAATTTTGATTGTTCTTCTTAACATCAGTATTATCATTTGCAATTGTTTTCGCAGTTGAAATGTTTTCTTTATGAATATTATCAACAGAACTCTTTACTTCTACTTTAATGTCCTGTAAATATATCAAATTGATAAAATATTTTAAAAAATAATACATTTCTTATTTAATAATTTAAATAAAAATATGAACCATTAAATTTAAACCATTTAATAACATAACTATACAGTAATTAAATTCACGAATAACATATGGTAGGAAGGTATGAAGAATCTTTATAGAATTATGAATATATAAAATATAAAAATATGAAAGTACTCTTCACTTGCTTGAAAATTAAACTATTGTAAAAACTAATAAGAGCACATAGAAAATGTTCTTAACTTTAAGTTTATGATATTAAAGTTAAAAATACAGAATTAAAACTACTAAACGCAAATTTTTTAAGTAATTTAATCGTCAAAAATACTATTTTTGTTTTATTTAATAGCAAAATCACTATAAACATTGATATTTCGTTAAAAACAAATTGAATAACAAAATAATAGTAATAATAATAACACCTATAGTACTTATACTAAATACCTATATCCTTATATATTAATATCTCGCCATCATAAAAATAATGTGTTATTAATAAAGTAATTATCAAAAGTTAAAAATATTTCATCTTTTGAAATTTATAGTTAATTATTTCCAGTTATTTGATATTAGATCAACTCATTAAATAAATTAAATTTCTAAAATACAAAATTATAATTTTACTTACACCTCCAATTTGAATCTTTTCTTTTTTAAGTTTTGCTAATTCTGTTTCAACTTGAGCTTTTAATGATTCTTGTTCTAATTTAAGACGTTCAATATCTTGGTTGTAGTTATTGGCAAGATCATTTTGAAGTCGTTTTACCTACAAAAAGTGCACAAAAAAGTTAAATTTAAAGATAAGCAAATATAATTTTAATCACATATTTTTATTTATTTTGAATTCTGAATATTTTTATAGGTGTCAATTACATACAATTTTAACAAATTTAGCAATAACTTCAATCTATATTCATAAAACAAATAAAAACTTAAGTTAAAACAACTAATATCTACTACCTACAACTAGTTAGGGTTAAAATAAATTTTTATTTTCAAATATTAATGAATTTATAGGAGTAGGTATTTCATAACTTGATTCAAAATTTATAGAAGTATAAAATAACTAACAAGATATAAGTTAGCAAGATAAATCTAACATAAATATTAAATAATACTTTACCGTGTCCAATAGTTTTGCATGAAAAATCTTTATGGTGTTTAATTGTTTTCTAGCAACATTCATGTTTATTGTGGTTATAATTAAATTAATTAAACAAAAACACTACTTTAAATATCAATATATTCGATCAATATTTAAAATGTAAAAATAAGCAATATTATGAATTCAGTATAATGCAATATTAAAAACTGAAATTAAAAATCAGTAAAGCGTGTAGATAACACAAATGGTATTTTTTCCGATAAGGTGATAATGAGAAGTCAGCATTTTTAGTTGCCTAAATACGACTTGTAAGGAGTACTACAATAAATATAATCTTTTTACTTTTCAAATATATCATACAGCCACACAGTCCACAGATATGAATCAAAATTCTAGAAAAGATTGTTTATCTACTCAGAAGTCTGTCTCCCTACCTTTCCTTTGTTCACACCGGCTATTTTTATGTCATTCTAAAATATTCTGCCTTACCAATTCTTATTTCCTCATCTTTCCTTAGCCACTTCTCACTGCCTCCGAGTTAATTCTTCTCATGAATCATAATATGACCGAATTTCAATCTAGTCTCATTCATTTTGTCTACAATTGGTGTCACTCTTACACTAATACACTACGAATTAATTTCTGGTTTTATCTGTTCCAGTGACTTCACATATCCACCTTATCATTTTTACTCTACTTTACGTTATGTTCTAATTTTTATTCGTTGCCCAACATTTCGATTCATTTTATAATATGAACTGGCTTCACACTTCACAGCTGTCTAATAATCTCAACAGCATCCTCTTATCGCACAAAATATCACATATTTCTTTTCGTCCATCAATATATAATTATATTTCCGATGTCATCCCCAACACCGTTATTCTTTTGTACCACCGATCCCTCGTAGTACATAAATTCGTATTTGAACTTATTCACTTCACTTTATACACTAGGGCATCATCTCCCGTCTTCATCACATTCCTTGCATTATTTTATCGAATGTCTTCTTCAAAATCACTCATAATTTCCTCAGTTTTACTCATACTTATTCATAGTTCCACTCCTCCTGAACAATTATTTTAATCTATTGTTCTAAACTTCTAATAGATATTAGATATTTAAATACAAAAGTATTTTCGGCAAATGCGATTATCACCGAAACAGAATTAAAAACCAAACCTGGCCCTTATAGCACTGATAATACAATCAGTTGACTGTGGCGTATTATGATTAGCATTTAGCATTGATATTAAACTACGGAGTTTGGATGTTCGTAGTCCACGTTTATGATTTATCAAAGGTAAATGGTGAACGCCGTGAACGGTGATAACTGATTAGTAATTAATTATTGAAAGAAAAAAGACAATACATTAAACGTTAAACTAATACCTAAAAAGTAAAATATAATATGTACGTAATTAGTATTTGTAACAAGTCAATAACGCTCAACTTAATTTTTTGAAGTTCCAAACGAATACCTACTATATAAATATTATAAATTAAAAATATGAAACGAATCCTACTCATTGCGCCATTTCACGTTTACCTACGTATAACAATAACAAATCATGTATAATTTGTTTTGAAAAACAACAATTAATGTTTTAAATTGATTTCAAAAATAATAACAACAATTATTATTCAATATTTCGTCTTTTTTCTCAAGGTAGTCGCATAACGTTATGCAACGCGACTTGTTCCTACTCCGTGGCAGCCATTACATTTATAAATATATATATAGTATATAGATTATAGGTACTTATAATATTTTTTGCTTACCCCACCTAAAAATTAAAAATCAGAAAAATATGTCAGAATTTTGTTTTTTGTTTTAATTTTGTCTGTGTGTTACCTGTTTTCTTAAAGAAAGGAAATTTACTCGTTCGTACCGACGTGCTCGCAATGGCTGGTCATAAAAAGGTAATGTTGATCATCTTACCTACCCTATTCTTGTTTGAATAAATTATTTTATTGTTTTTTAAATTTCATATTAGTAGGTACCTAAGAAATATAGATAAAACTATACTTACTTATTTAATGTTTTGAGCCTTAAACACTAGTTTCTTTAATGCATTTAATATTTGGAGTTTGTTGTCAAAAAGTTAACAACTTAACACACTAAAAAATGTAATGAAATACCTATAGCCAATTTCATAATCATATGTATTACAAGTTATGTTTCATTTTACAATAATTAGTTATTAATAATATTAATATTAGTATTCACATACCAGTACTTAAAGTATTATCAAAGTATTTACTACTTACTACTTATGATGAGCTATTTTGGTATTTCTTATTTCTAATTATCAAGTAGTACATGAAGTATCAGTTTGAAAAATTAAAGTATTGTTTAATAATTTAGTATATTCTTAAAATGTTTTTAATAAAAATTCTACAATTATAAGTTATATATTAACTGAAAGATAGATTTCCGATAAAGAGGTTGCATACCCATTACCCAACTTCTTTTTTATGTACACTATTAAATAGAAGCTATAACTAAAATCTATTAATGTATTTAGACAATATATTTATACAATATTGTTTAATAAATATATTTTAATTTTTCAAATTCTTCTCGTTTAAAATGTATTTTGATGTCTTGTGTTCCTATGGTTTTTAACTAACAATAAGCTATTATACCTAAATAACAAAAAAAATTGAATCATTCAATATTTGTACATATTTTTAGGAAAAACTAGAAAAGGTTCTTTTGAAGAAAAGCCGTCCATCAAAAAAATATAAAACTTCAAATTCTTGTAGCTGTTTGTCATTTTTGCGATTTGTGTATGACTTAATTGTGTCATTTATATTTCACTATATTTACAAAAATATTCCATCTAAAATATTACCTCCAGTAGAAGACTTATTGGTTCTTGATAGTTGTACAACTATTGTCAATAAAATTAAAAATAGAGAAGTTACATGTCGCCATGTTGTCGAATGTTTTATCAAACGAATTGAACAAGTGAACCAAATATTAAATGCTGTGGTTGATACACGGTTCGACAAAGCATTAGTCGAAGCAGATGAGTATGATAAACTCATTGAACTAGCGGATACAGAAGAAAAATTAAATTTAATTTTTGATGGAAAACCTTTATTTGGTGTTCCATTTACATCCAAAGAAAGTACAGGAGCAAAAGAAATGGCTTTTACTTTTGGACTGGTATCTAGAATTGGCGCTAAAAGCAAAGAAGATGCAGATATTGTTAAATCATTAAAGACTGCTGGTGCAATACTTTTAGGTGTTACAAATGTTCCAGAAATAAACCTATGGTGTGAAACTAGAAACAACGTTTACGGACAAACAAATAATCCTTACAACACAAACCGTTCAGCTGGTGGTTCTTCTGGTGGAGAAGTATGTTTAAAATAATAAAATAATACCAGAAATAAATTTTTATTAAGAAATATTTTCTTATTTTAGGCTAGCATAGTGTCAGCATGTGGTAGTCCTTTGGGTCTTGGAACAGATATTGGAGGATCTGCACGTATACCAGCATTTAATTGTGGTTTGTTTGGCCATAAGTTGACTACAGGTAAGAAAAATACTAAATTTAATATTTATTTTGTACTATCAAATTGAATTTTTTTGATATATTAATAATTGTCAGTGAAAAATCTTTCATGCAACTAATGTATATATTATTTATACAGTTTATTAAAATTGTTTATAAAGAAATACAATAAATTACTATAAATTATTCATACAAACATTTTTGCACAGGCCACAAGTATAAAATATAGTTTAATAACTCTAATTAGTCTTCAATTGTTATATTTTTATAACAATTGACTCTTTTTGTTAGATTTATTTAACTTAATGTTTACAATTACTTAATTAATCATTTTATATCTTACTTGTATTATATATATTCAATCTATCTAGTTTCTTTATGTTTCAAAGTAATATTTTCTGTTGCATAGTTTATAAATCATATTTTAATAATATGTAAACAATTTTGTAATTTTTAACAGCGTTGTTTGTGGCATACAAATTATAATAAGCTCAACCAGTAAAAAAATATGTATAAGCATAAATAAGTCATTATACTAATTATCAGTTATTACTCATCACTTATCATACTTCATATTAAAGTGTTTCAAATAATAAATACAAAGGTCATTACTTAGTGACTTAATTGGCCTATACCAATTTGTATATAATTTTATGATACCCTTAGATTATTCTTCTATATTCAACATTAATTAAATTTGTTTTGAAAAAATTAGTGCTAAAAAATCAGAAAAATTGATCGTTTTAGGGGTGTGGTTTATGGATCCATCGTATCATATGTGTGCTTATGATAATCGATTTTGATTAACTTCGTCTGCCAAAAATGTCTTGACACACCTATGTTTATGATGGTTAATATATTGTTTAATATTTTTTACTAATATAGGTTTAAGAAGTCTTTCTATCTTTAAAATTATTATGTTGACGTCTACTGGTCAATATTGTTTTTTGTTTACAATTATTTCTACCATTTAGGTTTTATAAGTACAAAAGGTATGACATTTAGAAAAGGCACAGAAAAACAAACTATGGTCAGTGCAGGACCTATAACTAAATATGCTGAAGATTTAACTCCAGTAATTAAAGCCCTCCTTGGACCTGAAAAATCTTTAGAATTAAAAATTAACCAAGAAGTAAGGATATATTTAATATTATAAAAAAATTCTTAAATTTGTATTTTAGTAAATTTAATTATTTATGTTTCTTTAGGTTGATTTGTCTAGTTTAAAATATTACTATGTTGATAAACCCAATGATGCACGAGTCAGTCCCATTAGTGATGAATTACAAATAGCTTTAAATAATGTTATAGAGTCTATAACTTCTATCACTGAACTGCCTCCATTCAAAGTAAAATTTTCAGGAACTCGTTATAGTTATAGTTTATGGAGACACGCTATGACAAAGGAAGAATCTGATTTTTGTGCAACATTGGGAAACAATCAAGTAACTTATTTAAGACTAATTTAAAAATAATAATATACATTTATCTATACCTAATTATAGACTAGAGTTTCTGTATGGACAGAAGTTCCAAAAACAATTATAAGATCTTCGAATCATACCTTGGCTGCAGTATTAAAATTAATAGATTTGCAACTACCAAAAGTAAATGAAGTTTGGGCTGATGCTGAGATTGAGAAACTCTCAAATGAAGTATCGGTAAGTATATAGATATTTTAGTTTTAATTTTAGGACTGGGAGTTATTTTTTTTTTCTTAAGTTAAATATATTTGTGTGAGGAAGGGTAGAAAAAGAAATGCTTTGCTATTAAATTTATCTTATACTTCACAATGTATAAATAAAAGATAAAATTATTGTAATGTCATCAAATCATTATGACTCAAAGCTCTATATTTAGAATTATAAGGTCATAGAAAAGTAATGTTGTTGTGTATTGTGTTCAATATGTAGATAACATTCACATCATCTGCAATAGTATCAAGTACAATGTATAAGTATTATAGTCAATATGTTAACTTAAAGTTAAATATATTCATATTTACCGTTACTTAATGAATTGTGAGTGTGGCAGCTTTAGAATATAATTAAACTCTTTTAAAAATAAAATTTAATTTCTATAAAATGAAGGAATGATGAGGATAGTGTCGTATATCTAGATTGTAGACGATTTTTAGCACCAGGAACTCATGTATAAATTTATTAATATTATTTTTTTTATCTTAATTTATTAAAGATTCATTTTTTTTTAATATTATAAATTATGGCCCACTGTTAGGATTTGCATCAAGATTTAATTTAATTAATTCAAGCTATGTTACTAATTGAGATATGCTTTAATATTTTAATACTGACGACTGATAAGTTTAATTTTAAATATATTATGTAAAAATAAAATTTACTAATAATAAGTTAATAAAAGTAATGTTCATGTTTTAGACATTGTTGGGTGATGATGGCGTGTTATTTTTCCCTTCGTCGCCAACCACAGCAAAACATCATTATGAACCATTCTTCTATCCATACAATTTTGCTTATTGGGCCATCTTCAATGTACTAAAACTACCAGTTACTCAAGTACCAGTTGGTTTAGGTATAAACGGGTTACCATTAGGAATACAGGTATTTTTTATTTAATAAAACTTAAATTCAATAAAACAATATGAATGTCCAATATTACTAATAATGTTTAATTATTATTGTATAGGTGGTTGCTGGAATGAATCAAGATCGGTTGTGTATAGCCGTTGCAAAACACTTGGAATCAACATTTGGTGGATGGAAACCTCCTTTTACAACTAGTACCGAGATAAATTGAAATTTATACTGAAGAATTATTTATTATATTGGTTGGTTTTATTTTTTGGTTAAAGGAAATATTTTTGATATATGTTATACTTATAAATGCTTATTTATGTTACTAATTGTGATATTTACATGGAATAATAGGTGATGATTTTATGTATGATTTTCGTTTTAATATTATATTTATTTTACACAGTATACATTTTAAACATTCCAAATAATAAATGTTGTTCTTTTTCTCTTAATAATATTAATGATTTTAATTACTGTTAATTGTATAATATATTGAACAGTAAAACCTCTGTTTTCAAACATCATCCAAGACCAAAAACCATTATGGACAGTTTTTAAATATTTGATAGCAAAAAATGTGTATATTTTAATCTCTTATTAGTGTTCACCATTGTGTGTAAACATATTTTTAAATAATTTTTCTTTATTTGTAGAGGTTTTACTGTTGATATGTATATATATATATATATTATATAATATATGTGTGTGTGTGTGTGTGTGTGTGTATGTCTGAATGTATTGACGAATAAGGACCCAGACTATTTACAAAAAAACTGAATACATTATTATATTATTTTACATAACCGTATAGTCTTATCTTAATCTAAATGTTTTTCAATTTTTCTACTAATTTTAAACCTATAATACTATTTGTATTGCCATACACTTGTATAAATATAATACATTAAATTACTTTTAACAAGGTATTTTAAGACTGTTAACAAACTTAGTATTTATAGTGCAATAATATAATATAATATTATTATTTAGTATTAAAAACAATATTGTTGTTTAAAATTATAACCGTGTGTTTTTTTTTTTTTATGTTTATTTGATAAATTCTTAAAGATTCTATGTTAAAACAGGATTTTTTATCTTGTTAAAAATGCTTGACTCATTTAAAAAAGTTTATTTTTGACTACAGCAATATAATTGAAGATTGGAATATTACATAATCAACATTATTCAAAAAAAAAATAAATATCCAAGTATAAAATAATTTAATAATCTTAAAATTGTAACAAAAAAAAAACAAAATTAGGTATTGATATAATTGTAACAAACATAAGAGATATTGAGCATAGGATCATTATTGATTATTTGGAAACATTACCAAGCATTAATTTCTTATCAAGTATAAAATAAGAGAGTAATAATTATAGATAACATGTTGTGGGTGTGAGTTATTCCATACAATGTATATAAAATAAACGCAATAACAATGACTATGAAATCATAACATTATTAAATTAAATTATGTTGATAAGATTGAGATGACTGTTGAAAGTTTATAATTATTAAGTATATAAATAAAATATTATAAACCATTTTTGTTTGTACTTAATGGGATTGAGTCTTCATAGGTTATTAAATTTATTTGTAAAAAAAAAAAAAATTATAAACTACATCTTGTAGGTGAATTGAGAACATTGATTAAGACAACACTGACATTAAAGATATTGATGGACTCCAAAAGTCAAATGTTACAAGCATCGTACACTGTATACAAATATTGAGTGGAGATATTTCAAGTCAACAAACAGGTCATTAAGATACTTTCATTTCAAATAATAAATCGAATTGAATAATATTAGTTGAATTTGAACCATACTATTTATTGTTAATCGTTCAGACAACCAAGATTTGTTTGATTAAGATTTTTCATTGCATTGATAACAGGATGAACATTGCCAAAAGCATTGTGTAATGCAATCTAAGGTTTTATCTGCAAAACTATATTCTAAATTGTGAAAAATAAAAATTAAACAAGAGGGATATGATTGAAAATGTATATAATATATAATTTACTCACGTCTATTTTTATTACGTTCTTGTGGGTCAATAGGGTTATAGATTGAAGTCTCCGATACTAAACCACGATAACATATTATTTTCATAAACATATTATTTATCAAAATAACTTACAGGTTTTTTGACGTCCAAAGATTTTCCTTTTAAATGTTGTAGGCGTGGCACTGTCATGATTTTCTTCCGTTTCAAAGTTTTCAAATTTATTATTAGTTATATCCATAAAAAATAGAAATAAACCTACACCTCAACAAATTTAAACCTTTCTTAAGAATGTGTACAAACAACTAAACCAAAAGCATAGGTGTAACGTAGAAGTGGCACAACCATGGTGGAATCAAATAGAGCGTTAAAAGCCATAGTAAAACAACAGTTAGTTTTCTACCGTAAGGTTTCACTGACCCATTTAATAAAATGTACAGTTAAGCTTGTGTACACAATTTTCCATAATGATTATAAAAAAAAAAAAATAATAATAATAAAATAATAATTGATAAGTAGATTCTCTCAAGTATATTGTATTTTGGTAACAGAGTACTATTTATAATTGCACATATATTCAAATGTATACAATGTAAATCATAAATGTTTAAATTTAAAAAAAAGTTGCATAAAATTAAATGTTATGATACATATAGGCGAATAATTTGCAAATCATGAATAATCTGTCTCAGTCTTAATTTTGTTCAAATGTTTTAATGCGTTATTAAATTGGTAATGAGTAATGACTAACAAATTATAACTAATGTTGTTAATTTTTCCATTTCGTATTCTGAAAAAATAAATTAAAATTATTTTTAACTTGTATTATTCATTAACATAATTTGATTCATTTTATGCACATAAATTATAAATATATTATTAGGAGTAATAATTATATAATATAAGCTTCAGGACCAAAAAAAATATCCATTTAAAACAGATTATCCATATTACTAAATATTGGATAGAAAACAAATATTGAGTACTACTCAACAATAATTTCACAAAACCCTTAAAAGTGAATTACTATCTGCTTAAAAATTATGAGAAACACAACTATTTCTCTTCTTAATCAATGAATTAACCACCAATAGTTAATACATAAAACAAAACCATACTCATGGTATAACTTAACCTTGTTGCTCGGGTCACAAAATAATAATAATAATAATAATGAGTTATAAATTAAAAATATTATAATAATGTGTATATTTATTTTTAAATAAATTTTAAATCAATTATTGCATTTAATAGTGTCAAGTTCCAAGCAAAATAAGGCAGTGTTTATGAAATAAAATAGTTAATATTCATTACTTACTGGACTTTTTAAAATAACATCGGCATAACAATAGCTTTCAGATTGTTTTTGTAAAGTCGTCTTATATACTAATAATCCTCTACGATCTTTTTTCGATGCAAAATCCTGAAATTTAATAACAAATAAATAATATATTAAAATTTGATATTTTTCATAACTAATTTCATTGTTAATAATTATACCATACATCTATAATTATATGGTGACAATTGAATTTCTTAGCCAATTCTAAACGCTCATCTGAATCTTTAATTATTTTTATATAACGAGTTAATGAAGACGATGGAGCACCATTATTGTGTAATAGTTTAACAGTTTCACCAATAGGTAGTGATAAAGCTAATTTATCCTTTCCGAGCCAATTCTAAAATAAAAAAAAATAATAATGATACTTTTATTTTTATAATTTAGTTATAATTTTTAAATAACAATAATTTTAAATAAAAGTTGTTATAATAATTAATTCAAACTTTAGTTAATAAAATATACCAAAAGCATTATATTGTAAATGTAGTATAACAAAGTATTTAAAATATAAAATAATATATTTAGATCACCACTAATTATTTTAGATTATTCAAAATGTTTAAAGTTTATTTACATTAAAAAAAACCAAATCAAATTACTTTGTTTAATAACATGTCATCCACAAGAATCCAATTTTGTAGTTGACAAAATGTTATTAATAATGTGGCTTCTAACTGTTTAGTACTCAAGTTAAATTCATTAGCTAACAGACGACAAGATTGAATATTTTGTTGCTCCTTACATTTATCAGATACCAGTGAAACAACTGACATGAATTGCGCACTTTTTCCTAAAACATTATAGAATATTTTATTAAAAAAAAAAAATAAAATGATTCTTGGTATATAGTTACCAACTAAATGAATAAGCTGTAATATAATTTGCTTATCATATTGTTCATCTGCTAGATTAACACAAACATTGAATCTCTGCAAACAGTTTTGAGGATTTCGACATCCAAATTTGAATAACATCATCTAAATAAATAAAATGTATACAAATTATAATCTACTTTATATTTTAAACAAGTAAAAGATTCAATATTATTTGTTGTCTGTTTAGCTTATGTTTTGAATGTCATATAAAAAATCTGGTTTAATGTTTAGTAGTTGAAATTAAAATGAAATCACACATAAATATTAAAAGAAAACTATTAAAGATATTAAAATATTTTTTTCTTGATATATTAAAGCATTTAATTGCTTAGTTTTTTTTTTTATTATTGTAATGATACATTAAAATACAAAGTTGTTACATTTACGTTTATGTTAAAATTAAAAAATTATATTAATTTAACAATAATTGCTTTTTAAAAATTGTTAGTGAGTAAAATTATACAGAAAAGCAAATTACACAACAAATTTTTGGTCAAAAAATAAAGTATCATCATAAAGGTGTTGTAAAAAGTAAAGTAATGATTTAAAATAAAATATTTTACCAAAAAAGTGGTATTTATATTATTAATATATTTAAGTTCAAAATAACTAAAATAATAAATTACTCTAAACTACTTCAAATTTCAAAAGGTAATGTTTAATACATTTCTAAGGAATTTTTAACCTTTTAAGTATTGCATATTAAAATCTTTCTCACACACGACACACAGCCCCTCGAAAAGATTTGTTTATTGGCCAGTCATCTTAAATAATTGTATCTTACCATTGCATCTTTTGTTCGTCCCAACATTCTGTAAAAAAAAATGTTTCACTGTATATATTTGTTTAATAGTTTAACATACATGAACATACTCTAAAGTGTCAACTAATTCGTCAATATATTGTTTGGAGTATAAATAATGAACATAATGAGAAGCAGCAATAGGATTATCGCGTAAAATACGCTGAAAAATACCTTTTTTCAAAGTATTTGTTAAAAATAAAACAATCTGAAACAACACATATATTATAGAAATATTTATTTAATTTATGTTGAAATTGTATACACTATACAGTTAGTATTGCATTTCCATCTTCTGTATCTAAAGCTTCTTTTAATAACATTGTTTTTTCTTCTAAACTTCGATATGGTTCTAGTGTATACATAGAAGACATAACAATATTTTCTATTGTAGATTTAATAAAATTAAGTTTTTTCTAGAAAAAAAAAATAATAAAAAGTATAATATAATTATATGTAAATAAAAGATAGGTATTAAATTTTAATTACTTGAGTTGAATTTGTTTTATGTGACTTTGAGTTATGCTTCATAAATACTGTAAAATACAATAACGATTAATAAATTTACAAAATTTGATATTGAAATAAAACTTGCTTTTATCTAAAATGTCTTTTGAGAGTAGTGTATCCAATGATTCAACATTTTCTAATTTGGTTTTTGTTGATCCAATTTGTAAACCTAACATATTTTTTTTCATTATTAGTCACAGTTAAAACTAGCAATGAATCTAATAATAATAATGCATATTAATGTATTATTGTTTTATTTTACAATTACCTTCACATTCTGGTAGAATTTTCTTAGTTGAATTCAATTCTTTTTCCTAAACAAAAATAATAATTCAATAATTAGAATATTTATTTAATAAAAAAAATACAATTCTTATTTACTTTCAATAAATATCTAACTGGTTAAGCACATAAATAATTTACAATTCACATATATTTTTATTTTTAATTTATGAGATTTTAACCAGGACTTATGATATGTATATTATTGAGTATGATTTTAAAAACTGTTTAGATTAGTATGTTGTGTGGCCACGTTTGAATGTTTGTGCAAAAGTATAATTTTATTTATTTCAACTTTTAAGTATTTAAGTAAACCATAGAACATATTTCTAAGGAGATAATTCGATTTAGAATCAATTTTCAACATAATATAGCGTATATAGAAATATACCTATACACAATACATGTATAATAAGTTTATGAAAACACTGAACAGGCATGCAGGTCCATCTTACAACATATTTACGTTAAAAGCAACCAATTTTATGTAATTAGTTTTATAATAATTAGAGTGTAATTGCCTTATTATCATACTTAAAGTAAGAATATCAACTATACCATCCCATAAAGCTTCTATCGATATTTAAATTTTATAATTGATTGATAACACTATAAAAAATAGGTGATACGTTATAACTCACTTAGTCATTTTAAAATAAATTTCTATGCAGTGCCCTAGATAATATTATTACCTTTATGTTTGATAATAATTGATCAATCCTCTACAATATAATAATAAGCTAGCAGTACAGAATTGATTTTGCTGAACATAAAATTGCTATGTTACACATTTGTAAGACAGAGAAAATACTAAGGAGTTGATGTGCTCTTATTAATAATAACTTTGAACAGTATTGTAAATAAATAATGCTTTAATACCTCATCTGCAAAGCTAAATCCTTCAAAACTTTTTTCATTCCAATATTCGTCGTCCGTGGAGTTCATTATAATAAAAATATCACTGGACTAAAATATAAGATTCGAACAATACCTACGAAAAAAAAATCGAATGACAAAAAATGTGTACAAACGAACTTAATCATGAAATGTGTACCTAAATAGAAGACGGATGCTCCGCAACTACAACACAGCAAACACACACATAAACGCCACTTGTGATTGAGCCTACCGGGCTACGACGCGTTCGATTAACGACAGACTGGTGTCCGATAATTAACAATAATAACAATTAACAGCAGGTAGGTAAATAAAATAAGAGGTCTCCTCTTAATGGGCACAGCTCTGCTCGGGATAAATTTAAACGAAAAATAATCAGTACGAAACTCGAAAGCGGATGACGAGATAAGTTTAACGCGAAGTGTACGTAAAAACAAACAGGTCCAATAACATTGTGATGTCGACAATCATGAATCAATGAGAACGCGATTACAGAACGACGGAGTTTGGGCGTTTTTTTTTTTTTTTATTGTCGCACCGGTCGAGAAAGTAACGTTTCCGAAATCGCTGTGGTGAAAAAATCAAAAAACCTTTACCCGGTCAACGAGGACACGGGAGAGACATAGACCCCCATCAACAGGCCGCAGCGCAAGTTTGTGTAAACGCGTAAAACGTTGATAAGATCCTTGTGCCGCCGGCGCACGGATACCGTGGGCAATTCTGCGCCGAACGCTGATACGAGGGGGCGCCCCGAGAGATGAGTTCGCCAACGCGTGTGTACGTGTGCGCGTGGCGACTTACGCGGAGCCGACGACAGCACTATAATATTATCACTGTACGATACACACGTAACGTCATATCGCGTATTGTGCGTACCGCACGTACACCGTGCACAGACTGTCCACGCGCTCGCGTTTTCTCCGCCCCGTCTCCCACCCAGACGAGACTACCGCGGCCGCGACTCGCCCCGTCGTCGTCCGCCGTTGGCGCCGCGTGCGTGTGCGTGAGTGCGTGTGCGCGCTCGTGGCGCGGCGCACCGACCCGCGCGCGCGTGTGTGTGAATATTTTGCCATTCTTCTCGCCAACTGTAATACCATATATATATACATTATACTTTGCGTGCGTGGTGCGTACACTGCTGCTGCCGCCGCCGCCGCCGCCGTCGTCATGCCAGCGAGCCGCCCGCCGAGTGCTGCCCGACAATCGTCTCGTGAATTCGGGCAAGTGCACACGCGCGCATCACTCACTCTCTCTCACTCGCTCTCTCTCTCTCTCTCTCTCTCTCGCGCGGTCCGCCGACTCGTCCCCCACCTCCTCTTCCCAGAGATTCCGTCAAAAATTCGCGAACGACGGCGATCGTAATATTTTCACGTCGGGGCTCAGCAGGCGCGGACGTCGAATTCGCTCGCGCGACCGCTCGTCCCCACGACGAAATAGATAGGCACGCCGTCATCTCGCCGCCGAATAATATCTATACCATTGCTACCCTCTCACCCCCGCCGTCGCTGTACAACTCACCTGCAGTTGCAGCAGCAGCAGCAGCAGTCACGCGCTGTCAGCTATCCGCCGACGGTTTAAATATTTGCACCCGGTCCGGCTACTTAGGTACCTGCCGACTACTACCCCTTGCACAGGTATATCATTGTTGTTGTTGTTTTTATAGTTATTCTATCTATAATAATATTACCTAGAAAATATTGGCTGTTAGTGTACGGTTACGCGCGCGAACGCTATCGCCATAATTTTAATTCAGATTTTTGCTTAACATACAGTGTTAGTACGCCATTTATGGTGTGTAAAAATTTTAAAATAATTTATAAGCAAAAATTGTATGCGGTCTATCGATTTTAAACAGTTTTCATCACGTAGTATATTGCATATTTATTCGACGTGCGTTTACAATATTATTACGTTTATATCGTACCTATGTTTCGCGCGCTATTAGCACGCGGTACATGCGGTACATACTATTTTATTTTATACAATAATATTATATTATTGTTTATTATACGTTATTAATGGTACAAAAAAAAAGGTCTTTAAAAAATATTAGTAATGACATCGAAAGTATAATTTTAAAATTATCACGTTTCTGTATGACAGTATAACTAGTATAAATATCTAAAAAGAATTTTACTATAATATCTTATAATATTACACTTTACTAACTTTAATTTTATAAATGATTTTTTTCAGAATGACACCCACAATACAATGTTTTGATGACCAATCAATGCCAATGCCACCTTCTTCGGTTCTTTGCAATAATATGTTTTTTCGAGAAAACCATCATCAGCTGACATCCGCCTCCGATAAAACGAATTCAAGGACTAGTAACGGTAAGTTCATAAAATGTCTTTAATATAACATTAATTTTTCTTCTATTATTTAGAAATTAAATTAATTTTTTTGCATTAGTTTAAGTGTGTTTTAAATTTAGTCAATTCAACATATTATTATTTTTGATATTATTGATCAGCATTTATTTTAATAGAGCTAAGTGTTAAAGCAAACTTATTGTTTTTAACCATATTTATAAGTAGATATTACACCGTATAGATACGTTGCAGAAATAATGCAAAAGCTGTTTCTGCGACGTCGTAGATTCCAAAATAAAAAAAAGTTAGGTGATAGAAAATTAAGGCCAAGATTAGTACACATAACCTTGATTGATAATTAATAATCATAACAAATCAAATGTGATAGTAACGAATTATAAAAAATAATTGCCAATTTTGTTTGTAATTTTCAATTGTTTTTTTTTATGTATAAGATATATTTATACCAATAATATAAAATAATATTCATATACTTAATCAGTAATTATAAAATATCTATATCCAATTAGTTCTAAAGAAAATGACGTAAACAAATGCATTTACAAATATTAAAATATTAATTATATTTATAATATTTGCAAACCAATACATACGTTTGCATTTATTATTATATACAGAGTGGTCCATTTATTTAGTATGACACTCATTATTTCAGAAAACAAAATGTTTTAACGTTTTTAGAAATATATCTTTTACATAATTTTTAAGTTGTTAATAAACAAGATTTAAAAAAAAATAAATAATATATTTTTACTATTGTTTAGTGTTATCATTTTTAAATATTTTTATTATTTTAAATGACAATATCCATCGTTAATTTCATATTCCAAAGCAAAATATTATTTGGAACATTTCAATCTATCAAAGTCAAATTTCAGACTAGTAGTTCATTCTTTATTTGTTATTTGTATTAAAAAACGTTGTCGAAAATCAATATTTTATCGGATAACTTTGTATCATTTAATCCACTCATCTAAACATTAAAATACTTTTAACAGTTTTAAATATAAGTTATAATTTACAGATTACTGATCCAAAATTCGATTTTTATATATCCAAGTATTCAAAAAATATTCTGCTTTGAAATAAGCAATTAAAAATACATGATATATATAACCATTAAAATAAAATGAATAATAACGATAAAATATATAACTTTTTATGATTTAGAAATTGTATATGAAAAATATTTTTATTTTTTTTCCTTTATATTAAAACAATTTATACAAACAAGAAAAATATTTTACAAATTTTAATAATTTTTGAAATAATGAATGTAACGTTGAATGGATCACCAGTATAAATAGGATATTTTTTTTGTATAATATATTTGATGAGTATCTTGTGAAAGTATGAATTGTGATCCCCACTTGTTTTTTTGTGAATTATTGTAATCAGTGAATGATGTATCTAAATTACAACTCAAACGAATAGTTTTTTTAAATAGTACTGAATGTTTTATTCTAAATATAATATAGGTTTAGAAAATTCAGGGATAAATGATGATTTGAAAATTGTAATAATTAATATTAATTCATTTATGATTTATATTTTTAAAATATTTTTGAGTAATAATAGGTAATTTAGAATCTCCACCCTCAAAAAAAAAAAAAAAAAAAAAGTAAATAATTTAAAAAAATCTAGGCTACGTGCTATTGGTTATATACGAGTATGCCTAATTATTTAACTGCTTTAAGAACAATTTATGTGCTTTCTATAAAACTTTCAAGATTTTGAACGAGCATACATTTTTTCAATTATATGTTGAGTAATCAAATATAACAATATTCCTTTTGAATATCCGATGACGTTAACATTTGTACATCAATCACTTCAGGATCTTGTTTTTTTTTTCAAATCTATTTTCATGACTTACATATTATCATGATTTTGATAAAAATTTTATTTGCTTGTGAAAAAACTTTTTTCCCGTATTTTCGATAAAAACAGATAATTAAAAATTTTGTATTTAATTTCCAAGCTGTTTTAATCATTAATAAAAACTATATCATACTTATCATTCATTAATAAAAACTAAACAATGTCAAAAAATATATCATGTTAAGTAAATTCTAATACTTGGTGAAAATTTTAAATCTACAGTTATAAACTATTGAAATAAAATAAAAAATTCGAATTAATTTTGTCAATATTGAAGTTGTATATAAAAATCCCCATTTTTCCTAATTTTATTGGTTTTCATAATTTTTTTTTAAAAGTACTGGGAATTCTTAAAACTACCATTAGATACAATTATCTACCATAAATCTAATTTTATGTTGAAAATTGAATAGCCATTTGTTCGATAAAACTATCTATTAATAATACCTCATACTTCAGATATTGATAGCTATGATTTGCTATACGAATCCTATTTTATTTATTAATGATAAATGTTTAATCAATAAACAATAAAAATTTGTTGAATTATTTTTTTGAGCAATTAAACGCTAATATGTTTTAAATATATTATACAATTACCAGAAAGAATAATCTTTTATGATCAATGTAATCACTGCAGATCACCTACTTACTACCTAACACTTTACACCCACTACATTATTTAAAATATTTCCTTAGTTACATTTGATTTTCGTAGAAACAGATAGTAAACGTTTAAAACAATATTACAATTTATATTTAATTTACATTAAATGATATATAATGAAGATAACATTTTTATGACGTGATTTTAATTCAACTAAAATAGAAAAATATTTTTATCAAGAACAAGTGGCAAATGTTTTAAAATTATCCCCTCCGATAATATGATCATGACCATGCTTAATAAATAATAAGTTCAAATTTCTACACATTACTCTTATTATTACCCAGTTAAACAAATAATATAGTTACTACAAACAATTGTTTGACAATTGTCAATAACATAGCAATTTACTGTAAGAACTAAGAGCGTATAATATCACCAATATTCAGTATAGACATTATTATGCGGTATATTTTAATAATAATCAATTTAAATGACCTCTGTTTTTATGCTTTATGTATAAAACAAAAACTGTAAGCTAATGAACAACATATCTTACACGCTTATACGTAATTTTATTCATATAATATATTACAGGATGGAAACACCAGTATTCTAGGCCTTTGTGGTTGTAATCCGACAACCGGCGCCAAATTATTTCCAAAAATGCATAAATAATCAACAATATCAATTAATAATAATTAGATAACAATAATTAATTATTATTTTGTTTGATTTTAATATTGCTAAATAAATGCTAGCTAACAGCTGCTTCATTAAATAAATTAATTTTTTAGAGAAAGAAAAATTTTGGGTAATGTCAATGTCAATGTCAAAATATTTCCTATTTATTTTTATCAGTATGTAATCAATTTATCTGAGTTGGAATGCTATGGGTTACAACATCAAGCGAACCGGCTCGACCTTATTATGTCACGTCATTAATTTATAGGTGTTTAAATTTGAACTATCGGACGTTGAAAATTCCAAAACGTATTTTTAGTGCATTTTCGATAGTGTTATTAAAAACGGGATATGTGATATTAAAATGCCTATTATTTACTACAATAGATAAGGTTATCTCATAGATCTTTTAAACTCGAAAGATTTATGGGTTATTTACGTAGATTTTAATAATAATATCTTTTTAATTGTTTAATAT